GAGAGGGGCAGGGTGATCCTTCAGTTCCCATCTCAGCCACCTCCCCCTCAGTGGGAACTGGGGCTGGAGATCCTTTACCCTACCAGGTCAGGCCCTGGCCCCTGCCAAAGCACTCCCCCAATTTGAAGACCTCTGAAAGGCATACAAACGCAGCCCCACCTGAGCTGACTCAGAATTCCCACTAGAGGGGAGTGGGGAGAGTTCTGCCATGCTTCTCCTAGCTGCTCTCCCAATGCTGGAATGGGGGTCACGGTGGCATGCACACCCCTGCCCTGTGAAAAGTTTGAGGCCAGGAAGTGTGGCACCTCAGCAGGGAAGCATCCACACAGGGAGAGCTCTTTATAGCACTTATTTGGAAGGTGAGAGTAAAGCAAAGCGTGCTGCTTATATACCGCCCCATCGTGCTTCAAGCACTCTCTGGGTGGTTTACAAGTTAATTATGCAGCCCCCCCCAGGAGGCTGGGTAGTCATTTTACCGACCTCCGGAAGGATAGAAGGCTGAGTCAACCTTGAGCCGCTACCTGGGATTGAACCCCAGGTCGTGAGCACAGTTTTGGCTGCAGTACAGCAGTTTAACCACTGCGGCATTTCAGCCAATACATGGCGAATGGAATGTGGGAATATATTTCAGTTAGGACATTTGATATTCAGTTCAAGAAGTTCTTTTTTAAAAACAATTCATCCTTACTTGTTACTGACTCAGATCGTCTTGTTACTTCTGTTGGAATAACACCAAGAGCATACTTTTTGGAGACAGATTGCCCACTGCGAAGACATAACTGAGTTGGATGACTCAGCATGCAGTCTTATAATGTCTACATTGATTTCTTAACTTGAGGCAATTTGACTCCAAAAGTTACACTATTTGTGTAGCTAGACAAGAGAATTTGGGCTGCTGTGTTTGAGCAGTTATCCATTTTGGTTCTTGTTACACTGCTGAAAATGTAATTAGTTGCATTGTCTATTACACTTTTCACTACCTTTCTGTTACTTTCTTTAAAAACGGGATTGATAAGAGAATGGCATAAAATATGAAAAATTCTGTCAAAATGCTTTACATTTTCCCTTTAAAATGACTTCTGAAAGTAACTAGAAAATGTGATTTATTTCTGGTACAGTAGCTCTATTCCCCTCTTTACATCACTGTAGTGGTGTTATGTTCTGTCAAGTCACATCTGACTAATGGCAATCCTAATAGGGTTTGCAGGGTATGTTAGATATTTAAGGAATGTGGTGTCTCTGCCCCCCCCCCCAGTTTCCATGGCCGAGCAAGTCTCCTGAGTCCTAGTCCATCACTCTGTCCACTATATCACACTGGCTCTTAGGTTTTTACACGACTTCCAGAATACAGTTTCTGTGCACCCTCATTACCCAAAGAGGAATTGTTTTCAGATAATAATGTCACTGGTACTTCATTACTTCCAGGCTCTGGTTTGTGGGAGTTGGTTTCAATTGCAACACACAAGATTTTTCGTCTTAACTTATGCTGCACCGTTTTCACAGTCTTTTCTGTTTCAAAGAGACCTTTTATTTTTGTAAGGAAAGAGAATGCATTTCTGTTTTCCATCTCATTTACAAATCATTATCATCCAAGCAGAATAATCTTAAAGTACACAACAAAAACTAGTAACTTTCTATATTTTCAATTATGCCTAATTTTAGTCCTTTTTTTGCAAGAAATCTCTTGCAAGAGACTTATACACTAGTTATAAAATAAAATGCTTGTTTTAAAATAATCAATAAAACAATACTTTCTCTAGCCCCAGACAATGTTAAAAATCTGTTTTCATGAATTCCTTTGACATGCTTTTATGTACAGGCTGGTCCAGAGAGCAAGACAGCCAGAAACTGTAGTACCAAGAATAGTCCCCAGTGAGCACCTCACTCCTAAACTGACGCCTCCTTTAATGCTGATCCAGGACTACAGGATCCCTTGTTTCCCAATAAGTTGTTGTTTAGTCATTAAGTCGTGTCCGACTCTTCGTGACCCCATGGACCAAAGCACGCTAGGCCCTCCTGTCTTCCACTGCCTCCTGGAGTTGGGACAAATTCATTTTGGTAGCTTCGATGACACTGTCCAACCATCTTGTCCTCCCAATAAGTAGGAAGCCTTAAATGGAAAACTCCCTTTGCTGACAAGGGAATTGTTCCTTTGTCTTGCCAGGAGCGCCTTTTAAGCACTATTGCCATTAAAGTACCAGTTCCCTGGACTTTAAAGCTCCTGGAGGAAGGTAGCCTATGTCAGTCTCAAGGCTGATGAGGGCATGGAAGCCTCAAGTTCATGGTATTAGACCTGGTCAGCACTAAGACATCTGGTTGACTTTTGTGGGAGAAGGATCTAAGGTAAATGACTCCTCTATGACTCCTCAGCTTCTGAGTCTAATCCATGCTTGGATTACAGCCATCTGCATAGGGTTGGGAGCATGGCTGGAAGAGGGACACCTCTTTCCCACTGTGCATTACATATTTGTGGGGAACACAGTGCCAAATCATGAGTTACGGTTCTGAGTGTTTGCCCTACTGTTGCAGGACACATGGGATAGAACACATACTAAGAATTGAACTGATTTCAGGCTGGGGTGAGAGTATGTTACCTATAAACCACAGGTTTTACTAGAATTTGTAATAGAGCTTGAATCACCACTAGTTGATAAGGCTAAGGTCTCATCTCATTCATTACCCTATTTCTTTTTTTAAAAAAAAAACCTATTAATATATACATTTCTTGTTGTTTAGTCATTTAGTTGTGTCCAACTCTTGGACCACAGCATGGCAGGCCCTCCTGTCTTCCACTGCCTCCCAGAGTTTGGTCAAATTCTCATATCATTAATATCTCATATCATCACCGGGTTCTTATATGTACTGATTTGCCACAATCATTTCTTCCCCTAAGTTCCTGTCTCTTTCTGGACTCAATTATACATCATCTTCCAGCTTTCCTTTACAAAGTGTCTCGGTTGATCTCGTATTGCCTCTGAAAGCATATCTAGTTCTGCAATATCCACTAGCTTCTTTAGTAGCTCTTCCATCGTTGGTATTTCTCCATTCTTTCATTTTGGGCCCAGAGTAACCTAGCTTTTCTCTCTCTCTCTCTCTCTCTCTCTGTGTGTGTGTGTGTGTGTGTGTGTGTGTAGAGAG